GGGCCTGGATTGAGCCTCAGTCGTCTCTTAAACCTATGGGGCTTTAATTTCTATAGTAATTAGCCTTTATAGTTGAATCTTTGGTTCTGTTTCCCAGGAGGCTTCAGGACTCTGCTGTGGCCTTTTGGTACTGATAACCCTGTACAAGACTTCAGCCTTTTGGAATGATTATACATTATCACATTCTAAATAGGTAGGGTATTTATAACTAGCTTCCTTGACTCTCTGAGTCACCCTAGCTTTCCCTTGACTTTCCTGATCCGAGATAGAAAGGGCTGAACTTTGTTGCATACATCAGATGCTTGGCAACAGACTTGACTGACCATTACAGTAGCTCCAATGGATGAAAAAGGGTACTTAATGTCTACATTTAGTCTTGTTCCAGGTTGTTCTGGCCAGCCATCCTCCGTTAGAGGTCTTGACAGAGCAACCAAGGACATCCTTTATAAAACTTCAAGTGCACTACTTATGCATTGGGGACCAGTGCTATTTAATTCGTTCATAAATTATCTAGAATGGGGGAGGGGGAAGCAGTGCAGTGGCCAAAATTGTAAATGCTACAACATTTAGGATGGTGGATAACAAAGTAGACTATGAGGAGCTACCAGAAGGACCTCTCCAAACGGGGAGCATGGGCGACAACATGGCAAATGAAGCTCAGTGCTGGGATTGAAACTAAAATGGCCAATACTGCAATGCCCCTCTAAAGAAGACCTCTACGGTGCAGCCTCGCTGGGTATACGGTGTGCAGTTCTGGTCACTGTATCTCAAAGAGGAATTTGCAAAGCTGGAGCAAGTACTGAAGAAGGCAACCAAGATGACTGATGGGATCGGATCACCTTTCCTATGAGGGAAGGCTGAAGAGTTTGGTGATTTTCACCAGGGTAGTGGTTGGACTAGGGTCTAGGAGGCCTTGGTTCAAATCCCCACTGTGCTATGAGGACTTGCTGGGTGGCCTTGAGCCAGTCATACCTTCTCAGCCTAACGTACCTCTTAAGGTTGTTGTCATGAAGCTAAAATGCAGAGGAATACTGTAGGTTGTCTTGGATCCTCGCAGGGGAGCAGGAAGCAGAGTATCTGATATATATATAAAAGCCATAACATATTGGCACTTTCCAGCTCTCCCATTGCCTGTGCTGTGCGCTCCATTGGCCCATCTTCCCTGTCAGAATAAACTGGTGAAAGGGCTGTCACCCTTATGATGATGCTTCTCCTGCTTGCCTCCTCTGCAGCTGGCTGGCTACTGAGGTGGACCACCGGCCGGCAAACCATTCTCTTTTTCTGCTGTGGGGCTAACTTTCCCCTCAGTGGCTGTTGCTAGGCAACCAAGCTTGGCATTGTCAGTAAAACGGCAGGGGCAGGAGGCTCTTTCTAGGCCTACATTGGCCTCTGTGGGGAACTCATTGGGGCCAGTCCTGACTAGGGTTGCCAGCTCCAGGTTGGGAAATTCCTGGATATTTTGTGGTGGAGTCTATGGAAGCCAGAGTTTCGGGAGGGGAGTAGCTTCAGCAGAATAGAATCCCATAGAGTCCACCCTCCAAAGCAGTTATTTTCTTCTGGGGAACCATTGCTGCCAATCTCCAGGTGAGGGCTGGAGATCACTCAGAATTACAACTGCTCTTCAGATGGCAGAGATCAGCTCCCCTGGCGAAAATGGTGGACTCTGTGTCATTACACCCTGCTGAGGTTGCCACAGCAAATTGATGCTGAGTGCCCAAGGCCAGAGCACCCACCCAGAGCCTCTTTCTAGAGCTCGTATTTATTTCCACAGCGGGCCTTATTCCTAGTAAATAAATAAATGGGGTGGGGCAAGGAGGGCATAAAGATATGTAAAATTATTTGTGGGACAAACTAAGTGGATGAAGTGATTTTTCTCTCTCCCTCTCCCGTAATACTAGACCTTGGACATGGACAATGAATCAGATGGATGATAAATTCAAGATGGACAAAAGGAAATAGTAAAGAAATTGTTGAGTAAACAAATTATGGAATTCACTATGAGTAGTCATAGTGATGGTTTTAAGAGGGAACTAGATTCATATAGGTGAAGTCCACGAGTGGCTACTTGCCACAGTGCCTGAAGGGAACCTCTGGATCCCGGTGCTCGGGGGCAGTGTTGGGGGAAGGCTGTGGCCTCTGTGCCCCATCTGTGGACCCTCCATGCCTGCTGGTTGGCCTTTGCACCGAGGAACAGGAGGGAGGGCAGGATGGCCCCCCCGAGCACTTTGTGTCCCTGTGTTTTGGATCTCAGGTGCCAGTTAACGTGCCGGCAGCCCCAAGAGAGGCAGTCAGTGTGGGACAGCAGTTATGACGCTGGACTAGGACCTGGGAGACCCGGGTTCGAATCACTGCCCTTGGAGCTCACTGGGTGGCTTGGGGCCAGCCACACCCTCTCAGCCACGCCTACCTCACAGGGCTGTCTGTAAGCAGGGTTAAAGGAAAGAGAGGAGGACCACCATAGAGGAGAGGTAGTTAGCATAAAAATAAATAGACGGAGCAAGTCTCGCTCCAGATGCTCCTGCAGCACCATGGATTGCTTCAGCCGGGCCTGTCTTCTCCCGGAAAGCCGTCCTAGTCCAGCCCC